ACAGACTTCACCCTTATGGACCTCACAGACTAGGAGAGAAATGGACAATACGCAGAATCACACAAATAAACATGAAATGGCCACTGGGATTAGTATTGTGAAGAGGCACCCAGTGCTATGAGAGCTTATAACAAGGAGATCTGTACTATTCTGCAGATGGGCATTAGGGAAGACTTCCCCAAAGTGATGCTTGAACTGAGATCTTCTGGAGGCGACTGAAGTATATGAGGGAAGAACTTGGGAAAGAACATTCCAGGAAAAGGGAACAGCAAATTTCAAAACCTTAAGGCAGGAAAGAAAGTATGTATTTTTTTTCTAGTAGATTTCATTAATTATCAGGAAATCTGTACTTGATGTGTGGATTTGGGGAAATTCCACAGATATAAATAAAACATGTACTGTGCAAAATAATCTTTATCTGAGACAAATACTGGACTTTAAATTGTATTTAGATATAAAACCATTAGGAACCGTGACTTGTTTAACAAATATTTCTTGAATATATCCTTGAGGGCGTTCAGGTAAGGAGGAGTAGAAGTGCAGGGAGTTGAGCCCAGAGAGGTGGGAAGGAGCTGGATCAGGTAAAGCTTTGTAGCAGTTGGGAGATTTTCCCAAGAGCAATCAATCTAAGCCACTAGAGGGTTATTAAGATTGGAAGTAACAATGATAGGTTTTATGTTTGCAAATTGGAGGGAATGCTGTAGGAAGAATGGGTTGGTGAAGAGCAGAATGAAAGCAGGAAGAAACGTGGGAAGCCATGGCAGTGGTGCAGCAAAAATGACAGTGGTGTGGCTGAGAATAGTGATGATGGGGAGGAGAGACACAGCATATTAGATTCCATTCAGCTAGTGGGTGCTCACCTAACCCCTCCTCCTCCTGACCTGGGACCAAATCCCTGGGCTTGCTCTCTCATCCTCATCCTGAGAGGGCAGTGAGATTTACTCAAGCCTCTTGGTTTATGTGCCTTCTCAGTCCTCAGTGGCCACTACTTGCCACTGTCTTTTCTCCAGCGAGTGGGCCTGAAGAATGACAGAGCTGTCACTAATCTGCTCCTGATTACTGAGAAGGGTGCTTAGTGGTGACGGGGAGGGGTTGTTGCTCTGGTTTGCTTGCCCTACTTGAGTTCACTGCAGCTGGAAGATTATTGCTCCTGGGGCTTCCTGAGCCATCCTCACCCCAAAACAAATAAAGGGAATGCTAGAATTTTGTTCTTTCTCAAGGAGACACCCTTTTTTTTTTTGTCTTTGTGGTAGAGAGGGAATATATTTTTTAAATGCCTTTTCTGTTGATAGCAGGAATACAATCTTATCAGAGAAAATTGAACAAATACAAGAATATATAAGGAAGGCTAACCAGTATTTATAATACTACCCTGTGTTTTTATGTATTTTTCCAGTCATATATTATTTATTTTTAAATAGGTCATACATACTGAATATGTTTTTGTGTATCTTGCTCTTTTCACTTTGTGATTTAAGCATTTCCCTGTATCATTAAAATCTCTCCACACTCCATTTTTTAACCCACAAAGTAGTCTTTCTTTTAAAACAAATTTTGCATAACCCTTTCCTATTTGTTGGACATTTGAGCTGTGTGTAAGTTTAATCATTATAAGGAGGTCTGTGATGAATGTCTTTGTTTATAAATCTCTGCTTGCATTTTGAGTGGCCTTTCTCCCCTCTAAATTTCTAGAAGGAGGATTAATGAAGGGAGTTGTGTAGACATGACAGGAAATAAAATCTCTATGTAGGATAATTCCCACCAAAAGTTAGCTGTGCTCCTGTTAGTGGCATGATAAAAGATAGGGGCTGGTGTTTTCCACTCTGTAAGACTGTATGCTCCCTACATCACTTCATCATTCACCAAGCAGTTGCTACCAGGTGTCTGTGTCAGGAATTACATCTTTTCTCTAGCAACCTGTGGGATTGTGAGCTTGAGAGGCGTCTGAGATTGGATTTCATAGGTTTCTACCCATCTTGTGGTGCAGCAGAGAACCCTCCATGCTTGTGCTGCCATAGAACCAGGTAACCAACCTTGAGCACTGCAATTTTCCTCTTAGGGGCCAGTTTCTTCATAAGCCAGTGGAGCGTTTGGGTGTGACCAGATTTTGTTATTGTTGGCACTTAAGTAGCAGAACCCCTATTACAAACTAAAACTCTTACAAGGACCTTTATCTGTAAAACAGATTAAGGAGCAGTTGTCCTGGTAGAGGTGTGTAGGGAATAGTGTGTGGGGGTAAGGTGGGGGGAGGATAGGAGGGATAGTGCTCTGGTTTGAAAACTCTGGCCTAGAAAACAGAAGGTTCACTCCAGTTTAGTTCTCTTCCCTATTGCTGAAGTTTGCACACACACACACACACACACACACACACACACACACCTCTTTCATCTCTATTTAAATTCTCCAAATGTGCTGATTGATACAATATTTTCTCTTAAAGGCAAATTGGAAATTAGACATAGTGGAGTACAAAACCATGGATGTTTAAAGAGGGAGTGAGCAGTACCTGAGATCCGCTGAAAGGGTGACCCTGGCACTTCTAAGAAGGCGACCACACAAGGGACTATTCCAAAGCAGCAGTGTCAGTTTATCCCTGGTTGGCACCGCCCTCTCAGTGGGCGGAAATGCTTGTTTTCACCCTCCTTTTCCTGGAGTCATTTCAGACCAAACTGTGTCCACAATTGCTAGAAATTTGAACCCAGTGTAAACTACAAACAGGTACTTTATTGAGGCCCAAACACTGTGAAAGATATGAACAGGGGAGTGAATATGACAAGAGAGTTTCCTTCCGTCCTGTGACACTGGAGCACGGGGAGGGGTCTGAAGCTCACCAACCTGGCAGCCTGTTTGTTTAGCTCCAATTACCGAAGTGCCTACCAGCCAGGAGGGGCCTGAGGTCTGTGGCCCAGGAATGGGAAATGAGGGAGTAGAACGGAGGCCTCGCCAGAGCTCAGCAGGGACGCAGCACGCCCGGGAGAAGCTGCCCGGTGAAGGTCAATGGATTGGGGTCTGTAATTCAGCGTGGGGAGCCCTCCCACTACTTGCAACACAGTGCGGGGTTGGGTTCAATGGAGGAGGGGGAGGGGGAGAGAGATGCCAGCATCTGCTGGGGAGGGATGGCGCTATCATCCCTGGGAGACCAGACTTCTCTTCTTGTAGAGGCGTGTAGAGCTTAGTCTTCAGGATCTTCAGTGATGTGTAAAAAGCGGGAAAGACCCCCGAAGCTGTTGCAATCGCCCGCCCCTCCCCCCCGAACCCCGCCCCAACCCGCAAGGGAAAGGCTGGCCCGCACAAAGAAGCCGGTTGAAAATGTGGAATTCGAACCAATTTACGGGAAATTCTGTCGTCCAGTGCCTGGGCAGACCTCAAGCACAGAAACCTGTGGTCAGGATTAGATAAGGTTAAAAACAGTGCATCAAGCCTAGCTCATTGGAAAGTCCGAGTTTAGTTATACTGCTATAGCGAGGTAACAGGATTAAAGGGATTAAGGAAATCACCTCAAACAGCTGAGAAGGCGGTAAGAAAAAAAAAAAAAAAGTACTCGTTCTATTTGTTTTCTTCCTAGGCTCTAAACAGATACACTGGGGTCGTGTGACCAGGAGCGAAACTAAAGGGCTTTTGAGGGACACAGCGGCTTGGCCAAGGGTCAAGGATTGGAGAAAATTGATGGGGGTGGGGGAAATAGAAAGTGGGCCCGAGGTTTGGAATGGGAGAGAGCCTCTTTTAGAAAACAAGCACGCGGGCTGGGTTGACAAGTCAAAAAGTAAAAGCCATTCGTACAAGTTTTAGAGATCTTTTAGGTATTTTTTAGAGATCTAAGGTGTAATTTGAAAAACCAAACCTTTCGTTGTTGCATGCTTTCCCCACCCCCCACCCCAGGTTTCTGCCACCACGTTGAAATGTACTTATTTCCTCCTAGGGGTTCCTGTAACTCATTTTTAAAAAATAAGAGAATTGAGATTTTCGTTTTAGAAATATTTCAATTCGGCTCAAATATCTTCCCGAGACAGAACACAAAGGTAAAGGTGCCCTTTTTTTGTCCAGTTTCTTTGGCCTCTCAGCGCTATCAACAAGTGTGTGGCCGCGGGAGGTTCGTTTCAGCTAGACTGTCCCCGCTCCCAGGAAGACAAACTACTTTCTCCTCGGAGTTTCAGTTGAAAGTATTGGGAGCCGCTTTGTTTTCGTTTAGGAGTAGTTAAACAAGAAACCACTTCAGATGCCTCCGGCCCCCAAGACAGGACCACGATTGTAATACCGAGTGGTGGTCCCCTCCCCGACCCGCACCTCAAGTTTCAGGCTCGCAAAATTATCAAGACTGCATTATGTTGGTTATAAAATTTATTGATCTCTCACTTAAAAATTAAGAGTAAACCCTTGAAAAACATGAAACAAAATATCCCCTTTCCCACAAGACAAACGAAATCCGAAAACATTAGCGCGACGATATATTGATCACGGCAGAAATCATAACGCAACAAACTAAATGAAGACTGGACAAGCTGTCCCATGGCCAGGGACCGCGAGGCGGGAGACATACGCACACCTGGCTATAAATTAACATTGGACTTAGCTGCCTCGCCCCGCCCCCAAAACCCACGAGGAAAACAGATGTAACGCGACTGAAGGGAGGGCGTTGCACGTTTCAGGCCAGCCTCACCAAAAAGTACGTTTCTCCAATTCACTCACTCCATGGCTAACATCAAATTAAGGAGACATTTTCAAATGCAACCAGAAAACCCAGGAACCCCGAAGGATGAGTGGGGCTGCTTTTTCATTGCAAACATCACAGCGATTCCAGCCTACAAAAGGGGAGGAAAGGGCAGTCGAGCTCTAGAAAGTCCCATATTCGATGTTCCGAAATTCTTTTTGCTGTTGTACAAAACCCGACAGCTACGGCAAAACTTTCTGTCCTCCCCTTCATCAGTATAGGCAACAGACCCAGGCAAGCAAAGCTAAACAACAAGGCATCCCAAGTTGGGGTGCGGGGTGGGGTGGGGGCGCAGGGGTGGCGAGTGCAGGCCGGTTTTCAGATGTGGGTCAGCGGCACGGTTCCGTTGACGGCAGTCCCCGCGCCCTGGTAGTGCTGGTGTATGGTGTGCAGGCGACCGCCAGGCAGCGGCGAGGCAGCGTCAGCCGCGTCCCCGCCCGGTGGCAGGTACATGCTGATCATGTCGCGCAGGTCTCCGAGGCACGGGCGCTGCGAGTGCGATGTGATGGCGGGCGGCGGTGAGCTGGGCTCCGTCTTCACTACCGTGCCCATTGGGCCCAGGCTCATGGCGGCGGCGGCAGCTGCCGCGGCAGCGGCGGTGGCGGGCTGTTGCCCGTAGGCGGCTGCCGCGGCGGCGGCAGCTGAGGGCGCCATGCCCCCGTAGCCTGAGGCAGCTGCGGCAGCGGCGGCGGCGTTCATGTAGCTCTGGGCGCCGGGTGGCATCATGGGGCTGTACTGCAGGCCTGCCATTTCGTAGCGGTGCATCTGAGGCAACGCGGGCGGCGGCGGGCTGCTCATGGTGGCGGGCTGCGCGTAGCCCAGCTGCTCCTGCACCAGTGAATACGCTCCGTTGGCCCATCCATTCACGTGTGTGTAAGTGTCCAGGCGCTGGCCCACGCCCACCGGGCTACTGGCGGCCGCGGCGGCGGCTGCGGCGGCGGCCGCGGCGGCGGCGCCGTGAGGCAGGAGGCCGCCTGGCAAGGAGTATTTGTCCTTCTTGAGCAGCGTCTTGGTCTTGCGGCGCGGCCGGTACTTGTAGTCCGGGTACTCTTTCATGTGCACCGCACGCAGTCGCTTGGCCTCGTCGATGAATGGCCGCTTTTCGGCGTCGGTCAGCAGTTTCCAGTCAGCGCCCAAGCGCTTGCTGATCTCAGAGTTGTGCATCTTGGGGTTCTCCAGGGCCATCTTACGCCGCTGCCCGCGGGACCACACCATGAAGGCATTCATGGGTCTCTTCACCCGATCCTGATCACTGCTCGCACCACCCACGCTACCGCCGCCTGCGTTCGCTCCGCTGGCTGCGTTCGCGCTACTCTTGCCTGCGCTGCCTGGAGCTGCGGGGCCGCCAGATCCCGTCCCTGGAGTGGATGGCCCCACGGGGTTCTTGAGTTCAGTCTCCAGCAGGCTGTACATGGCCGGAGCGGGAAGAAGGTGCGCCAGAGTGGCGGGAGGAGAAGGCGCTCCGGGGGCTGGAGCAGCCACTGTGAAAAGGCCTGGGGCCTCCGTCCGAGGGGCGCTCAGGGGCCGGTGGGCCGGCGGGTCAAGCGGGAAGAACAGGTTTGCCGAAGCGCCCCGCGCCAGGTCTACAGGAGCCCACAGTCCACTCGCACCTGATGTGTTGTCTGGAACTGGTCGCATTCGTTGTCTGGTCGGTTGCGCCCCAGGCCCCTTATATACCTGCTCCTATCCCCCGGGGTTGGGCTGGGTCCGCCCCTCGCCTCAGGGAGTCCCTATGATTGACAGGCTTTCAGTGATGAACTCTGGCCAATCATCGCGGAGCCCCCGTTCGTTTCCCCACTGGAAAAAAAAAGTTCGGGGAGCCCTTTCGTTCACATCCACGCCCCTCTTGGGCCCCATGACGTGATGAGAGTTATTCAGGAGGCGGGAGTCCCGAAGAGCCACTCAGAGACCACCAATTAGGTTCTCAAAAAGTTTGAAAGAACGAAACTCTAGGAGGTGACTGGGGCGGGGGAGTTGATGGGGGGGCAGAGGGGCGCCCAAGAGGATTAGAAAACAACTTTGCAGCCCTGTCAGGGCCTACTGATGCCGGATCCCGGGGCTACCACGCAAAGCTTTCCACCGTCTGCGCGGTGGTCCTCTAACTGGTTTTACTGCCAGCGCTTCTACACTGGGCATCGCCAGCATCCAGGCGGACTTGGAGCTCAGGACGTAACCGAGGTGCCTCGGACTGCGGCCCCGAGAAACCCTGCTTGGTATCGGCCTCTGTGCAGGCGGACGGAGCGGGAATCAGGGACCAGGGCACTGGAGACAAGTTTCGGGACCACGGAGCAGGAGAAGATTCGCGTGAGAGCAGTTAGTTTCCCGCTGCCCACCCAGGGCCCAGGAGCTCACATGGTGTTCCAGGAGTGTGTGGGTGGGGACAGAAGGGGGTGTACCAGTCTCGGCTCTCTCCCTCCAGCTTAGCGGGCCCCTTTTTGTCTCTGCTCTCTGGCGATTTCGGTTTTTCCAGTCCGATGCCCCTGGGGCGGAGGGGGGGTGTCAGGCCCCTTGGAAAATCCGTTTTCATGGCAACACGGGGCCTCTCCAAGTGAAAGAGAAGTTTCTTGAAGAGGAGAAGGTGGCCAGAGAGGAGCCGAGGTCGTCCTCAGGGCGGACCACGGGGCCCTCTCCACTGACCACGCACCTGCCGGGGACCACTGAGTGCTCCTTCGCGGCGCAGCCGTGCCGTCTCCCGGGGAAGCAGACTCTGCTAACGGATTCCGTCCTCCTTTTTTGTTTTACAGCTTTCCTGACCGGAACTTCAGATTCGGAGAGGGACACTCACCCGTTTGTCGAGTTATCTGCCAGAGTAATGGTGCGGAAACCCGGCCGCGGGGAGAGGGAGCCCCAACAATCACCTCCGCCAACCCAAGCTAGTGGCACAGCGTTTGAAACTCCCAGCGCAGCCCCAGGCGAAGGGTGGAAAGGAGAAGCCAGCTAGACAGAAATGGCAGAGACAGAAATAAGGTGTCTGCGCATTGTGGGAGTCACTCCCCCCACCCCAGCCTCCTGGAAAGGTGGGGAACAAAAAGAAAGACTTAAATCCAAAATGTGAAACAAAAACAAAAGCCCAGGGTTTTAGTGCCTTAGCTTCCCCCTTTTCTGCATGAATTGCAGGCTATCCCCCTCTGGGGCTGACTGAACGCTGGCACCAAAATCCTGGCTCCCACCCGGCACTATCTCCTGGAAGTTTGCCTCTTGAAACTCGCCTCTTAAAATTGGGTTCCACCTGGTCTACGTACTCTTGTTCATCAGGATGGAAGAAAGCAAACGTCCACAGCCAAGAACTAAAATCATTTGAATGAGTGTACGGATTTAGGGTTTAAATTAAACTATCTGGAATGGTTCTGCGTGTGGGTTTTATGTGTGTGTGTGCGCGCGCAGGTGATCAAGCACGTGCACGGGTGTGCACACTTAAGCTGACACCGAATGAAAGGAGCGTCTCAGTAAACGGAATGATTCCACAATCCCCACGTGCACCTGTTTTCTTGACAAACTGGCTGACAGTCAAATTTTCCTAGGCAATACCACCTTCAGTCCTACCCTCCTGACCCCTTTTCCTGGTGCCCTTTTGGGTTCTCTGGGCCTCCGAGGCTGTTGTCAAGTGAAGCGCGTTTTAGGAAACCGCCCAACCAACGCGCGGCCTGGCATCAAGTAGCCTAACAGATATCAGTATTCTTTCCAAGTTTTAGGACCCGGTTGTGGTGACAGCGCCTGGGCTGCATATTTCCCGAGGTAAGGGATGCGGCATTGAGACTGCACTCCTTGCAGCAGATTATCTGGGGATCTAGTCACTGGCCCCAGCCATTTGTCATTTGATCACACCTAGCCCAAGGTTTAGGTTAACTCATTTGCACATTACATCCTTCTGCCAGATTCAAGGCAGTCTTTTGCCAGTATCCGGCGCCCTCTCCCACATTCCTGGCTTCCCTCTGAGGCTGTAATTAAACCCATCTCTGCCTGATGGTTCTGGGGTGGCCTGCAAGGCCCCAAGGAAGAGTCACACCGAATTTCCTTCAAAATATTTCCGAGGAAACGTCTTCAACCCAAACTAGCGTTTCAATAGACAAGCAAAGTTACCATTAGGGGCGTGAGGAGATAGGATAAGGATGGAAGGAAACGGTTCTCTTGGCCCACCAGCAGTGCAGGCCCAGGCACCTTCGCTGGGGGTTAGGGAGAAGTGTAATGGCAGGTATTACTGCCCAAGGGCCCTCGGTTCAGGCAGGGGCTGCAGGGAGGCAATGCAGCCAACGGAGCCCCAATCAATGTCTCTGACACGCACCCTGCACCCAGAGAGGAAAGCAGAGGGACATAGTGGGATCCAGGAGCAGTCTTTTCCAACCTCTCCTGGAGAAGAGAGCGTGCTCGGCAGTTATCTTGCCCCTCGAGACGTCCAGGACTCCTGGGCGGCATTTACCCTGGCGCCGGGCTGGGAAACCCTCCAAGTGTCCCTTCCCATTCCCCCCGCCCGCCCAGGAGAACTCCGGCTCCCTCCAGCTGGGGCTAAGCCTGGGCTCCCAGGACCCAGGGCGCAGCAACAGCGCCATTTGTTGGCTTGGGTTGGAAACTACATCCAGAGGTGCCCCTTCCCGCACTCCAGGGCTTGGAGAACGTTCCAACCCTTCAAAGAGAAGTAGTCGGCTTTGCCCCGGGACAGACATGCTCATCCATAGAGGGAGAATTATCTCAAAATTCGGAAGAATTGGGCTCTAGAGTGGTTGGCCCAGCGGGCTCCGAGTGCCTAGGGCGCCCACATTCTGCCTTCCTCTGGTTTAGAGCCTTAGGCCCTCCTCTGGTTTTAAACCTTGGCAGAAATCAGATGTCCCAAGGGCTTCATATCTGCAAAGTGCACTTTTAGCAATTGTGTCTTAGAGCTACTGGTAGCTCCAGCAAAGCAGGAGAGTGAGTGTCCTACCACTCGCACGCAGGTGCCCGGGTTGATTCCTTTTCAGCAACTTGCTCATAGGGGACCTTTCTCGGTGTCTCCTATTCCATTAAGACCCAAAACTAGAGGAGGTGCCCTTTGCCTGCTGGATGGAATAGGGTGGATGTGCGTTGATTCCTGCGGAAAGTGTGGGGAGAAGGGGAAGGCTGAGATCTGACAATAGGGTGGAGCCATCAGCTTTTCATGTGCATCTGAACCCAGCCAGAGATCTGGATTTGAGAAAATGTGAAAAACTTATCCTGGTGACTCTCAGAAATGCTTTGCTTTCCAGGAGGGGAAAAAAAAAAAATGTTTGTTTATCTAAAGGCAGTAATTCCTGTTTCTCCCTTGAGAACATCCCTGGAATATTAACTTTGTCTTCTAGTCAAGATTGTGTACTTAGGCCAGAGACGGAGGGCCTTGATCAAGAAATCAGAGTTTTATATCTGTTGTAGAACCAACCATCTCTTGTAAGAGGTCAGAAAGGTAACCAACGCTTTAAGGATGTGGAGGACACAGTACCTTCTAGTTCTCAGAGCATTCAGTTTGATCTCCCTCCCTCAACACGTAGCACCACCCTCCTCCCCCAATGAAACACTTAATACAGGTTTGGGAAAGAGCTGAAGACCTGGGCTGGCTGGTGCAGGTTGCAAACAATGACCTAGTTGATGCTCTCTAAAAAATATTACTAGGAGCTATAGAGGTGTGTGATGGCATGGTCCTCGAGGCACCAAAAAATCTCTTGTGGGAAGTACAATTGTATTCTGTTGAGCTTTGGTGTAGCTCTTTTTGGGAGGAAGGGTGTACTTTTACACGTGAATTTCAGAATTTGATTCACTTGATTAGCTGAGCTGTTCTTGGTAGATACACTGGGAATCTCCCTGGCCCACACCTTGGTGCTTAGTTGCCAAGATTCCTTTCACCTACAGGGTATTAAGATATTAATGACCAGCTCTTGTTTCCCTAGTTGTGGAGCAAACATGAGGAAATTGACAATCTTTGCCTTCAGCCTGTCTCACCTACCTCACAACTGGAACACAACCCCAAGACTGATAGCTCCCCAGAGGAAGGAAGGTTCTACCCTGGAACTGGGTCCCACTTCCAGAGGGTTTTCCAGGTTTTGGTCCTTGACTTCTTGACCTCTCCCCCTCCTCCCCAACACCCTCACCCCCACAATGCCAACTCTCCCTACCCTTTTAGCTCTTCTAGATGACAAAGGCTCACCTCTGAGGAGCATCCTCCCCGGGAATTCGGCACCCTACTGCCAGGCCTGCCCTCCTACTTGAACTGTAGCCTTTTCCACTTCCTAGTATGGCTGCAAAGACACAGCCATAGTATCTTGCCCTCAACAGTGGCAAGGTGGCCAACAGAAGCCTGGGCCCTGAAAATCGTCTAAACATCGTTACCAGCATGTAATATTGTTTGAATTATTTCATGTCCACACAATTCAGACAGTGCAGACTGCAGGGAGCTGGTGGTGGCACAGGTCCAGCAGGCCTAGCAGTGCTCTGGCGAAGGGTGCTTGTAAAATCGTGACCTCCAGGAACCTCCACTGTGACCTGGAGCAACCATTGGCTCTGGGCGCCAGAGGGCGGATGGGGGCCTGGGAGAGATCCTAGGAGCAAATTTTAAACCTCAAGGCAGCTGCTCTTTTCCCTTCTCTTCTCTTTTTTTTTCTTTTTTACCCCTTTTTATTTTCTTTTAAGAGAATGGCGAGCCACTGTATTCGATGCGCGGAATTTCTATATTTTCTTCGCCTCTTTT